TTCCCTCTTTTGGCAAGTCAGAAATAGCCCAAGCTTTCCAAAAGGATGTTAAAATTGGACATAATGGAGCAATACCTCCTTCAGGTTTTTTTTCCCCCTTTTTTTTTTTTTTCCCCTCTTCAGGTATGAGTCTTGAATCCTTTCATTAAACTGACACAGATTTCCAGAGATGGAGAAAAGGAGGGGTATCTGAGGTGGACATTTTATGTAAATGAGCAAATCCGAAATGTATTACAAATCCACTGTAATAAAACTGACAGTTTTGACAGTATTGACAACATAAATATATGTTGGAACACAGCACTTTCAGACACTTAACCGATGAAGCAATAAAAAGATTCGACTACAATATTTCAAATAATCGACATTGATGTTTTGATACATCATTTTTATACCTCGAATCGATCTATCACTCCATGACCGGTCAATTTTAAGTAAAAATCTGCTGCAATTATTTACGCTATTGCCAATGACGACCTAATAACTGTTTTCAATTAATTACAGCAAAACTAAGCATTATGAGGACTAACCGGCCGCATATTCCATTGTATGGCATTTCTTGTATGGAGAGCAAACACGTATATGTATATTGCATTCTCTTTGTGGGATCAAAAGAAACACATACAAAGACGATCACAATCTTGGGGGGGGTGGGGGTGGAAATAAAAAGCAACCTCTTTTCGGGAACACACCGCCGGCTCTCACCACGTACTTCTAGGAAACACGCTATAATATTTTGTCAGCTCTCTCTCTGTGCAATACCAAATGGGGCTCTCAAGATTTTTTTTTTTTTCCTTTTCTCTTTGGGCTGTGCGCTGAATCCCACTTCAAACAATGGGCCGAGCAGTTCCTTGGAAAAAAAAAAAAAAAAAAGGGAATTTCGTGCTTCGAGTGATTGCTTGTGTGTTGTGAGAGTCTCCGGATCATTTCAAAAGAGGTAGGAGTATATTGTTCTCTCCGGACCGAGAACTCCAGTGTAAAAATGAGAGCGCTCCTCTTCTGGAGTTTTATAGGCAGCTGGAGAACAAAAGGGGATATTTTGAGTGAGCTGGAGCAGAGCTCTGAGCAGAGTTTGAAGCCTTTGCAGATTCTCTGGTATCACACTAAAGCCATTAGTTTGCCCTAACTGTCCCTTTGGTTTCCATGTCGTTCTGGAAAGATTGATTTTTTTTTTTTTTTTCATGCTTCGGGCTTCTTCAAACAATTACAAACTAGATTTTTAACTACCCAGTGCAAGCAGTGTTAGTGGGAAGCCGTGACAGGTTTGTGGTTGTTTTCTTCCTTTTTTTTTTTTTTTCTCCTCTGGTGTGTGATGGAAATACACTTGTTGACTGTTTATGGTCCCTACTTTTATGAACATTCCAGCTTAAATAAAATAGAATCTTAAAAAAAAAACATTTAAAAAATAAATAAAAAAAAATATCTCTTCTCTTACTTTAGTGCTTCAGACCCACCCGCGTGTGGACAGACGCGAAGGGGTTCATGTCTATGCTCCTTCCCGGGGCGGGTTTCGCCCCTTAGGGATGGAAGGCGGGCCTGGCCACAGCAGCGTCCCGCGGGAGCCGCTGAGCCGGGGCCGAGGGCCCTGCGGCCGCCGAGCGAGCCCCGCGGCCGGCTCGGCTCCGCTGGGCTTGGAGCCCCGCCAGATAGCGCTAGAGGGCTGCTGATGGAGCGCCGGCTGCAGCCCCGCCGCCCGGGCAGCCAGCGGGGAAACGGGGGCGCCGCGGCACAGCGACCCCGCACCGCTCGTGTTTCGTCCACAGTTGGGGCTTTTCCCTCTAAAAAAAAAAAATAAATAAAATAAATAAATAAATAAATAAATAAAAGAGGGCGGAGAGGCGGAAGAAAAAGTAAAAGGCGAAGTTAACAGGTAAGTAAATGAACCCCTTCCTAATCCAGCTCCTAAAGATCTCAGTCATGCCGCAGCCGAGGTCAAGAAAAGTTCACCGTGATGGGCTACCATTGACTTTAAGGACTAGAAAGATTTTCGACAAATAATAATACATTACTGAAAAGCGAAGTACACTCCTGGCAGACGGGAGGATCAGGGTGAGGAGCTAAATGAACCCAGTGATCTGCAGAAGCTAAAACGTGCATGATTTCACAGGGGCACCCGAGATGGGACCTCAAAAGTCTTGCAGCTGCGGGAAGTCGGAGACGAATCAAAGAGTGCTGAGACGAATAAAAAGTGACTGAAGTTGTAAAAAGCAACCGTGAGGGCAAAGGAGAGTGTGGTAAAGAGCGGGTTTGGGGCTAGGAATTTAACTGTGGCACAATCCTGATTATAAAAAGAGAAAGGTATTAAACTCCACACTTCGCCTTGCAAGCAAAACAAAAAGTAAAATTCACGTGAATTTCACCACAGTGTCACGGTGATGTCCCGCGTCCACATTTTAACAGGCAGATTGCTTTCTTCATTAATTATGACTCATTGCCTAGAATGATAGTTCGAGATAAAAAGCCAGTTCGAATATGCTGAATTTTTCACTGTGTTCCATGATATCCCTGACCCGTCTAAGACGAGTTTTGCTTTCAAATGCAGTCTACGTGTTACCGAACACAATGGCATCATCCAAAATACTTGAACTCAGCACACAAACAAACAAACATTGAATAAAGTTACAAACAAGATTAAGGTTCAAGTTATTTGTCCCTGTAGCAAGGCGTCAATTGTCCTAACAGATGTAGCGACGTTAAGAGGATTTAAACCATGCGAATTTAATAAACCAGATTAGCAATAGGTGCTTTCCACAAATGCTAAGAACCGGAAAGTAAATCTAGCCTAAATTACCCATCGGACCGGAGGATCACCTACAAGGAGAGCTCAAAATTTCCTACAAGGTCCAACAGGATTTTGTGCAAGCATGACTTGTTTCCCCCTAAAAACTTTCTATTTGCATTAAATCTTGTGCTAGGAGCACACGCGCGTGCAAAACAGCGGTTTAAGGTCTCCGGTGGGATTTATTCTCGAAAACTGAAATATTACCTGTTGTGCCATCCGCTTTTGCAAGGCTGTGGAAAAAGAGAGAGAGAGGGAGGGAGGGAGGGAGGGAGAGATGTAACGAGCAAGCAAGAGAGGCATGTCTCAAAGCCAGCAAAGGACTAAGATGCCACACTTCGGAAAGGCTGATTGAAAACAGACTCTTCTTAACTTTTAGAGGATTTTCTCTCTCGCTCCCTCCGAGGGCTAAGAAGCCGATTTGGGAGTTTGAAGGGAATAGGTTTCAGCATCCATATTTGTTCTGGTGCACTTGTAAAATGCGATTTGAAGAGGATCTTTAGCCCTCTGATTGTCTTTGTATTGTTTTTCTTGAAACGGATCTTTTGCCCTTAATGAATCCCCACACAGCTGGACAGCTCCTGCTCGGACACTGAGAGCGCTAACCCCAAACTGACCCCAATTTGACACCACAAGATGAAATTTTACCGCCTGTTAAAACCATTTCCAGCCTCGGCAAAAGGAGCTGGCGGTTGACTGAGATGCACTTCCATACCGGACACCTCATTTCTCTTTGGACTTTTGAGCCAATGTATAAAAAAAAAAAAAAAAAAAAAAAAAAAAAAAAAAAAAAAAAAGGAAAAAAAACACCACCCCGACTCGTATCTCACACTTTTCCTTAAAACATCCCTCACTCTGAGCGTGATGCGGGAGAAATAGAAATTAGCCATTTTATATTACCGGAATTACTTTTTTTTTTTTTTAAAAAAAAAAATGTCACAAGTTGAGGCGGGGGGCAGGGGGGGGTAAATAAAAAATCACCTAAGTATGTGAAAGTCCTCACCCTCTGCACGTACGTATCCCATTTTCCTCCGAGCTCCCAAAAGCATCTTTGTTAATAGATGAGTACATTCACTTAAGGGCGCTAAATTAAGATCCCTTTTTAATGGCTAAACTGTAGCGCTTTATAAACCATGTTCTCTGTGTGCTTTAATCCACTGGGATAGTGATGAGGAGAAAAGGCTTCAACTCTTTTCACGTGGAAAAAAAAGGACACAGAAAGAACATGAAAGATCTTCATTTACTATATGAAATTTCACTTTCTATCAAGTTAAAATAATTTTTAAAAGTTGGTCCCTGTCCCAGATTACAAACATGCACAGCAGGGCAAGACAACGCAGGGGGTTAATTAGTTTAGGAGGGGGAAAAATTAAACAATTGAAAGGAGCAGCACTGAACACTGCAGAAGTCTTTGGCTGCTTTTTTTTCAGCTTTGATTTTCGTCTATTTTCTCAGAATTTCTTAGTCAAGGGAGCTGAGATCTACAGAGACTTCTGTGAAAAACAGAATTAGCAAAAAAAAAAAAAAAGTGGTCTAAAATTATATTCTAAGCAATAAAATAATTTCTTCTATGGGATTCAAGTAATTTAACTTCTTTTTTGACAACAAAACTGATGAACTTACAGCTTGAGGTCTGAAGAAATGCATGGAGCCTTAAATGCAGCTAGATTACTTTTGTACAGCCAGTTTATAAGGAAAGACCTCTTCTTTGGTGATACTGAAACTATTTTAAAAGAGACACATTTGTACATCTCAAGAGACAAGGCTCTGGGTGTGCACTGCCACGGTTAAAAAACAAGTTTGGAAGCTACAAATATTTGAACAACGTCCTCTAAGCTGGCTGCATCACAATTAAACGATTCCATGCAAGTTGAGAAATCTGGCATCTTT